CGATTACACGGGAACAGCAAAGAAGACGGATCCAGAGGAGATTCGTTTAGTGAAGAAACTTGACTATCGCATCATGGTACGTGGAACTTGGTGATCACTCAATCCTTCGCCGACAAAAGCGCTGACCGCGACAATGTTGACAGCCCACACTCTGTGTGATGTATTTTTTGAACTACGTTGATCGCAACGCCATTGCACAAGCGCGTCTCAACGGTCTCGAAGACGACCTGAAGATGACGGGAACAGATTTCAACACGGCCGTGTCCATGTGAGTAACCAACGAGGATAGCAATGCTGGAGCGTCCCCAACGCTGACTCGGCTATAGTCTGTTTGTCGGCTACGTCCTCATGCAGATCCCTTCCAATATGTTGATCACAAAGGTGAATCCTGGGATTTACATGAGCTCTTGGATGGTTGTGTGGGCTGCTGTGTCCGGTACGTTGGCCTATTGCATCTGGCGCGGCCTGTCACTCTGAACCCTTCAGGACCCCCACTGACGGTCACGACTTCGTAGCTTGCACCGCTCTTGTCCACAACTTTGCTGGCCTCGTAGCATGCCGGTTCTTCCTGGGCATCACCGAAGCTCCTGTGAGTACAGCGCGCGGCGCTGAATCGAAGGCTCTTCTGACCTCTGGCACAGTTCTACCCCGGTGCCACATACATGCTTTCGATCTTCTACACCCGTAAAGGTGAGTCCGTACCTATGACAAGGAAGCCCTTGCAGGCTGCTGACGAGGCCGTCCAGAGGTCGCAACCCGCATCGCTGTTCTGTACTGCGCTCAGATCCTGGCCACGGGCTTCTCCGGCCTCATCGCAGCTGGCGTCTTTGAGGGCCTGGACGACGTTCGCGGTCTCGAGGGATGGCGCTGGCTCTTCCTCCTCGAGGGTGTCGTCACAGCTCTCGTGGCGGTGCTCGGATTCTGGCTCCTCCCCAACACGCCTCTCACGACGCGCTGGCTGAGCGAACGCGAGAAGGAGCTCGCGCACGCCCGCATGGAGAAGGACAAGCTCACCGACTCGCTGGGCCAGGCGTCTGCCGTCGAGGGTCTCAAGCAGGCGTGCCGCGACAAGCGCACATGGCTCTTCGTGCTGATGCAGTGCTTCCACCTCTCTGCCTGCTCCTTCAACAGCTTCTTCCCCACGTACGTGTCTCTCTTCCGTCGAACAAGGCAGGTGGCGGGTTCTAACGATGCTTGTCATCAGCGTGATCAAGACACTCGGCTTCAACACGACCGTCACGCTCGTCATGACGTGCCCGCCCTTCATCTTCGCCGGCGCCGCCGGCATCTTTTTCGGCTGGAGCTCGGGCCGCCTCCACGAGCGCACGTGGCACATCACCGCCGGCCTCGCCTTTGCCGTCGCAGGCTTCGCCCTCGCCGCGGCGTCGCTCAACACGGCCGCGCGCTACGTCGCGTGCTTCATCTTCGCGGCCGGCGCCTACTCGGTCAACAGCGTCATCATCGGCTGGGCGTCGTCGACGCTGGGCCAGACCAAGGAGAAGAAGGCCGTCGTGCTGGCCATGACCAACGTCGGCGGCCAGATTGGCTACATCTACGGCGCGTACCTCTGGCCCAAGTCCGACTCGCCTCGGTACGCCATCGGCTTTGGTGCCTCGGCCGCGTTTGCCTTTGGTTCCATCGTGTGTGCGTGGGTCATCCGCGTGCTGCTCATCCGCGAGAACAAGAGGATCCGTGCTTCTGGCGCCGACCACGGCAATCTTTACGGCTACTAGGCGCGGTACGGAGAGGAGGCTGCGCAGGGACGGCGTATGGAAAACGCGTGGGCGCGTGCGACATGGCTGGCTCGAGCCAGCTTCACACTCAAGACTGTATGTGGAATGGTCTTCGGCGCAAATGGGGGTTTCGTCAAGGTTTTGACACGGGCATGAAATCAAGTATCTTTGAAACCATCGTCTTGTAAATCACCGTCGTGAAATCTCCATCGTGAAATCTCCATCGTTAAAGTCATTATTGAAATTGGTCTCTTTTAAATCATCATGTTTCGAATCATTATTTCTCAAATCATCATTCTTCAAGTCATCGTTGAAATCACCATCTTCCGAATCATGAATGCACGATGCTTGGCGAAGAAATACTTCAGAGTCGAATGCTGTATTGCATAATGACCAAGCTTGGCCTGTGTACAGAAATCCAACAGACAGCCCACCTCGATCAGTAGACGTGCACTCACGTCTGGCGTTTCTTGATCCTGGGAAAGGCAAGCCACACGCCGGCGACGACGACGATGAGCGCGAGAATGATGGGCTGCAGCACGAGCAGACCCCGCTTCGCCGCAATGGCACCAATGGCAAAGGGGAAGACGGTGCCACCGGTGCCGCCCATGGCCATGGCGAAGCCAATGGCGCTGACGTGGATGTCCTTGGGCAGCAGCTTGGCGGTGACGGTGACGGCGCCGGGGAACATGGGCCCGAGGAAGAAGCCGAGGAAGGCGACGGCGACGGCGGAGACCTCGAAGCGCGGCACGAGCCAGAAGAGCAGCTGCAGCGCGATGCAGCAGACGAGGTAGATGCTGATGCAGAGGCGCTCGCCGAAGCGCTCGGTCACGAAACCCAGACCGGCGCGGCCGGCGACCATGCCGGCCCAGAAGCCGGAGCCGGAGATGCCGGACGCGTAGGCGCCGGCCTCGCGCACGCGCAGCATGAAGGTGACGACCCAGCCGCCGAGGCCGACCTCGACGCCCATGTAGGTGAAGAAGAAGAGGGCGCACATCCAGGTGACCTTGCTCTTGAGGGCATCCTTGGTGCCGGCGCCCTGGGCGCCGTCCTGGCGGGGGTGCTCGGCGCGGTAGACGGCGCCCGTCTTGTGCCAGAAGGTGATGGTGAGGCCGACCCACTCGAGCACGGAGATGGCGATCATGATGTAGTAAAAGGTGTACCACGGCAGGCCGGCCTTGACGACCATGGAGGTGGCGATGAGGGGCGCGAAGAGGGCGCCGAGGGAGTAGCAGGCGTGCATGAAGCCCTGGACCTGGTTGGCCTTGTCCATGTCGCCGACCCAGGCGCAGTAGCAGGCGTCGGTGAGGCCGTTGCCGAAGCCGGAGATGGCGTAGATGACGACGATGACGGGGAACGGCGGGTGCGTGGCGACGACGGCGTAGGTGATGATGTGGCACAGCGGGGCCATGACAGCGACGCCGCGCTGGCCGTACTTCATGTGGATGCGTGCATTGGTAAAGGCAGCGACCGAGTAGCCGGCAAAGGGCGTCAAGAAGACGAGCGACACGATGGTGTAGTTGAGGTCGTAGTATTGTTCGAGCTGTCGTCGGTCAGCACGTAGTCAGTCAGTCGGTCAGTCCAAGGGCCTCGGAGCAGCCATGGACGCTACGCTTGCCGTGACATACGTAAGGAATGAGGGCCTAGGCAACGTTAGCGACTCTCGTCAAGCGACTCTCGTCAAGATCGTCAAGCGACTCTTGTCAAGATGGGCGTCGAGGCTGAACCCACACCAACGGCCGCGTCGTTGAGGCCGGCAATGATGAAGGACAGAAATGCGAAAGCCAGCTTGGGCACGTTGCCGCGAGGGTGGTTCCATCGCTGGACTTCGCCATGGGCCACATGTCCTGGCGGCGGGCCTGTACCATCGGCGTCTCCGACCTCTTCTGAAGAGTTCCTTCGCGGGTCCTGCGGCGCTGACCCGACACGCGTCATGTCCTTGCCGACAGATTGGCCGGTGCCCAGGCGCTGGAGCTCGATGCCTTCAGCAGCCATGGGCGATGAGGGGCTGTTGGACTTGCCGGCCACAGACAAGGCCGTGGCCGGGCGCGTGATTGTCGCAGTCTGAGACATGGCAGTTGGTTCGGACAGGACAGACACGATGGCTGGTTGAAGCAATGCCAACTGGGTGGCGGTCGAGAAGAAGGTCGAGAGCAAGCACGCAGATGCGAGGTCGACCTTGGCCTGCTTTTTCAACACTTCTTCTACTGACAAGGCGGTTTGGACAAAATGGGTTTGACAAGGCGGTTTTGACGAGGTTGGATGCGGGGGGGCAAGAACAACCCGACGAATCGAAGGCACGGCGGAGAGCGGGGCAGCCCGAACCAGAAGTCCGCCTTCCGCCCGGTATATGATACATAGTATATGTATGGGCGTGCGACACTCCGCGATCCTGAACTCGTGTCACGCCGTTGCTCGGTCATGCCCCGAGCCAATGAATGGCCACGAATACCGACGAGTGGGTTTCCGCTTTCCCGCCGTCTGCCAGGAACTTGTACCTACAGACGGTACCTAGGAACCCACTACAAGGTCCGTATGCCGTCTTGGGGTCTTCATCCCTTTGAACCCGAAATTGATCTCAGGTACAGAAAATACGTACTGGAAGGACCCAACTAACGTGGCAGAAATGAGCTTGACAGCTAATCAAATCATGCACCTAGCCCACAGTACATTCACAATAGGCTATAGTACTATAGCCCACCTAACGACATCAGGCGTACTGGGTTTATAGCGAGGATCTTAGATGGATTACGTTAGAATGAGGTAGGACTCTAGGTACTGCGTAAGGTTAACAAATGTAGCAGCGCTAAACCTGATTATGAAGGCGGTATACGGCTTATGGGGCGCTTGCTTGTACTGAGATCAAGTTCGGGTTCAAAGGGTTAGAGGGGCAATGCATCCTCCGGAAAATCGCCCAGTCTGGTCATCGTTTGCCGAAAGACGCACGGCTTGCACGTGTGCTGCACCGTGGTCGATGACGCTTATGCGGGCCGAGTAAAGCGCATGCGACTCGGCCCTCGCAGGTGGAGGTCGAGACCATGACCAGCGAGGCAGTGCCCAGAACAGCGCATCGAGAGCTCCCTCGTTGATGAGCATCACAAATTGGCTCGGAGGGGGCAAGAGGGCAAGAGGGCAAGAGGGCAGGAGGGCAAGAGGGGCCAACTGATCCCGAACGACTTTACACTATTCCAGTCATCTATAATATAGAAACAGAAAAGAAAGACAGAGAAAAAAAAAACAGTACATGCAACAAGCCAATGGGCCACATTACTCCCGCACAAACACGCCCGCCATGCCCATGCCCGTGCCGACACACATGCTGACGACACCGACCTCGCCGCCCGTCCTCCCGAGGCCGTGCAGCAGCGTGCTCGTCATCCTGGCCCCCGTCGCACCGAGCGGGTGGCCCAGCGCAATGGCGCCGCCGTCGGGGTTGACACGGCCGTCCTGCCACGCCTTCTCGAGCCCCAGCGCGCGCACGCTGTGGATGGCCTGGCTCGCGAACGCCTCGTTGATCTCCCACCGGTCGACGTCCTCGGTCGTGAGGCCCAGCTGGTCCAGGATCTTGGGGATCGCCAGCACGGGTCCGATGCCCATCTCGTCGGGCGCGCACCCCGCCGTCGTGGCGCCGACAAACCTGCCGAGAATGCTGCCCGAGAGACCCAGCGCCGTCGCCGTGCTTCGCCGCATCAGCAGCGTCGCCGCCGCGCCGTCCGACACCTGGGACGAGTTGCCCGCCGTGCTGGAGCCGTCGGGCGTGAACGCGGGCTTCAGCTTGGCGAGGCCCTCGACCGAGGCGCCGGCGCGGATGCCGTCGTCCTGCGTCACCGTCACCTGCTGCTCGTCGCCGACCTTGTTGCCCTGCTTGTCGACCGCCTGGAAGCGCGTCGCCACGGGCACAATCTCCTGCGCAAAGGCGCCGTCGGCGCGCGCCCTGGCGGCGCGGCGGTGGCTCTCGACGGCAAAGGCGTCCTGGTCGGCGCGCGACACGCCGTAGCGCGCGGCGACGTTCTCCGACGTCAGGCCCATGGGCATGATGCAGTCGCGCGCGTCCTTGACGTCGGACGCCTTGAGGGCGGGCCACAGGTCGACGGGGATGGCCTTGCTGCCGTAGTTGCGCGTCATGCTCTCCATGCCGGCGCCGATGCCGACCGAGATGACGTCGGTGCGGATCTGCGCCGCGACGAGCGCAATGGACTGCAGCGACGACGAGCAGGCGCGGTTGACGGTGTAGAGGGTCGTCGTGCTCGGGTAGCCGACGTGGTTGAGGGCCATCTTGGCGGCCTTGGAGCCGCCGAGCTCCGAGAGGACGACGCCGACGGCGACCTCTTCGACGGCCGCCGGGTCGAGGTTGGGGTTCGCGTCGAGCGTGGCGCGCAGCACGACCGAGAGGAGCTCTTCGGGGTAGGCATCCTTGAGCTGACCTCGGTAGGATCGGCAAACCGGGGTCCGCAGGGACGACAGAATGACAACGTCCGAGGGGCTCTTTTTGAGGACCGACGAGAGGCCGCGTGGGAGAGACATGATGGGCCGTTTGGCTGGCGGGTCTGTCGAGTAGAAAAGGGGAATCCAAGGTCTTTTGATTTTGTCAATCGATCGAGTATCGTCAATCAATCGAAGGCAGGGTTCAATCGGGGTATCATGGAGCAGAACAAAGAAGAATAAACAGAAAGAGAAACGACCGGCGCTCGAGATACACACTGCCGGAAGCTCAGGAAGATGCCGGTCTCGGTTCCTCGAGAGCATCGGCAATGGGGGGGGGGAAGAACGCTTTTCCCCAATGGGTGACGTCCAGACTGTGGGGGAAGGCCCCACCGAGCATCTTCGGCAGTAGATCGCGGGTCACGCCTGCTGATGTAGAGTGCCGTACCTGCTCTACTCTACCTTACTCTACGGATACGGTGCCCGGGCGCGCCACGGTACGTCCCAACAATCCTCCAACACCAGCATGATGCTGATGATTTCCTCGACCGCAGCCAGATTTCCGAAACTTCTCACGATTCCATCGTCCGACTTTCCATCGTCCGACTTTCCATCGTCCGACTTTTCCATCGTCCGACCTTCCATGTCAATGGACCACCTCGGATGGCATTCAAACCTGGTCAAGCAGGACATTGGCAAAGGGTTACCACGACGAAACCAAGAGTGCCCCATGCGCGGATTGACATTCTTCCGCCGAGTCGTCACAACCACTCTTGCCACTCTCTCGTGACAGACGACTCATTCTACACAGACTGCAAAGCCGGGAGACGGTGTCGCGTCATCCTCCCCCATTCCTCCAGAGATGTCAGCTCCGCCGGCAGTTCTTCCAATACCGGTCCCATGTCAACCTTGAACGGCGTCTCGGGCGCTTCGTTGTAATAGGTGTACGCCGTGTGCATCTGCTTCATGACCCTCTCCGTGTCCAGCCCCGCCCGTTCCTTCATGGCCGCGCTGATCTTGCCGCAAAAGTCATCGACCGTTTGATTCTCGTAGCCCATCGGCCGCTCCCACGCCCGCGACAGCTTGTCCGCCAGCTGAGCCAGACAGACCGTCTCGGGCCCGCCCACGGCAAAGTTGCGCCCCGCGAGCGCCGGTCGCTCCATGGCGGCAATCATGAGACGGGCGACGTCCCGGTGACAGATCCACGACACCTCGAGGTCGGGCTTGTGGCAGTACACAATCGTCGACCGCTCAGCAATCGGGGGATATGCCCAGCCTTCGAGGAGATTGTCCAGAAAGACCACTGGCTGTATGCAGATGACGGGCAGACCCGTCTCGCGAAGTATCTGGCGCATGTCGATGCGGTCGTCCTGGGACTTGATTCCACGCTTCGTGTCGGGAACTGTCATGCTAGTGTTGAAGACGAGGAGGCGAACGGTACGACTTGATGATGCCGCTTTCCCGATGAGCTTGGCAGCAGCGATGACCGGTTCGGTGGCTTGAAATGAGGTCGACGGCAGATTGAGGAAGACAACCTCGGCGTCCTGCAGAGATGCCTTGACGGCGTCTTCATCGGAAAAGTCGGCGGCGTATGTCTCGATTGGCTTCTCGTCAATGGCAAGCGGCTTTGGATTCCGGCTCACGGCAACAGGGTGATGACCCGCGCGTGCGAGAGCCTCGACCTGAGCCGCGCCTTGCACACCCGACGCCCCAAAAACCACCACTTTGGTCATGATGATGCAACTCAAGCAAAGCTGACAACCTGTCGTGAAAGATGCAAAGAACAGCGTTGATATCAAGCAGCACGTCGGTCGCTTTTGGCCGCTCTGCAGGAATCAGTCCTTTCCTGCTAATTCAGGTACGCTCTGCATCGTGACCCAATGTTACCGCCGATCACGGACAAGATTTTCCGCACGTCTCGTGGCTACCCGTCCCGTTGAGGAGGAGGGGTCGACTGTATCTCACGACCCGTCTTGACGTTTTCCTCTGGGACGCAGCCAATGGAGCCAGCTCCTACCGTTAACTTGGCGGCAGTGCCTCTTTGCTCGTTGTGACCGAGGGCATGCAATACTCATCAGCCTCGCAAGGCGACGCCATCTGGGGGCTGGTAACGGGTGGGTTCGAGAGTTTACGCCGGGAAACCTTTCGCGGGTAGCCGCTCGCTGTACCGACGCTCCCCGCATGCTGGTTGAATGCCAAGCACCCCTGTAGTGCTGTACAGACTAGGTCAGAAACGGCGCTGCGGGGCCCAGACCCATGTCGTCGTTAGACAAGTCAGGTCGGAGACAGGATAAGCTGGTGAATAGGTGCCATGGATTCAGGACGACAGGGCAAGCCTGGACGATCACAAGCGGGCGGGTGAGGCGAAACGCCTCCCTGGAGTTGCCCCCATGGGGAGCCATCTCCACCATACTTGGCCCGACCTCCGATGGCGTGTTCCCAACGTAGAGGGCCAGGACGATCTCAAGACCAAGCCTTTTACCACGCCTCTCGGGGAAGCGGGAGTAGCCTATCGCCAGAGCTAAGCCTTCAGTGAGGAAATGTGCTCCCGGAAAGCATACTGGCTCGGATCGCTGACTCGGCCAGGGAGAATGTAGCCTGGACGTTGCATGAGATGTTGCTCTTACTAAAGGAGACTCGCGCCATCGCCGTGTCTCCAGCATGACGATCTCGACACCAGATGGTAGACACGTCGGTACCCTTGGAAGCACCGCGTTAAAGAAGCCAGCTGTCCATCATGGCTATCACGCCAGCACTGCAACAAACTTCCGATTCGGATGGCCTCGCCTTCGATGCTGGTGAGAAGGAGATGCATCAACAAATCGAGCATGCAAATACGTCCACGACACCCGTGGACAACGGAGAGGATGGAAAACTCACCAAAGAAACGATTCTGGCCTACATAGTAAGAATTCCTCTTCCGTTTCATACGAGAAACATGGCTGATTTGTACATTTCAGGCCATGTGCGGCCAGATCAACGCTTACATCATGTCCATGCTCATCCCAGCAACGACCCTTTCCTACATCAATGCCGAACTCGGACCAGACCCCAACTCGACGTGGATTACTCTGAACTGGACGTTCGGCGCCTCGATGATCGTCTCCATCGGCGGACGTCTCTCTGACATTTTCGGCCGCCGCTACTTCATGATGACGGGTGCTTTGATATCCATCTGCGGTTGCCTCGTCGGCGCGAACGGGCGGTCTATCAACCAGATGATCGCGTCAGGCGCGCTCTTCGGCATCGGCTCAGGCTTCCAAGAGCTTTGCTACGCCTGCGTACAAGAAGCCGTGCCCAACCGCTACCGCGTCATGGCCGTCGGCGGCCTAGATGTCAGCTTAGCGCTCGCCTTCTCGAGTCCACTCGTCAGCTACGCCTTTATTGCGCATCAGGACATCGGCTGGAGGGGCGCCTACTGGTATCTCTTTTCATTCCACTGCTTTGCATTTCTGATGCTCTTCTTCTTCTACAACCCTCCCGATTTCGAGATGAAGCATCGCGAAGATGGCGAGACGAAGTGGCAGCTGGTGAAGCAGATGGACTGGATTGGTGTCTTTCTCTTCCTCTCGGGCGGTGCTCTGTTCCTGATCGGCGTCAACTTTGGCGGCCGCACCTATCCGTGGACGCATCCCGGGACGTTGTGCCCGATCATCATAGGAGGATGCTGCTTTATTGCGGTTGGGTTGTGGTGCACATATGCTCCGTTGAAATATCCTCTCTTCCCACCAAAGTTGTTCAGGAGAGTGCGCGAGTACGTCTTTTCCCCCGTCTGTATGGGACATGGCTGACGGCCTACAGGTTCGACATGGTCATTGTCGTCTGCTTCGTCGGTGGCATGCTCTACTACAGCATGAACGTGCTGTGGCCCCGCCAGTCACAGGCATTCTTTGTGCCCGAGGGCGACATCATCATGCGCGGGGTGTATGCCACCATCTTTTCCTGTGGCACCTGGAGTGCGTTGCTCCCGGCCAATTCCCGTGGGTTCGTTTGCTAACATCCTCAGCCGCCGGCCTCGTCGTCGTCTTCATCTGCTCCCGCCTGCACCACGAAAAGTGGCAGCTTGTAGCCTTCACCATTGTCCAGACCGCGCTCATCGGCTCAATGGCCTCGGTCGGCGCCAACGACGAGGCCCAAGCCATAGTGACAGTGGTCCTGGCGGCCACGACCATCACCCCGCCTCAGCTGCTATCATTCACGATGCTCTCATTTGGCCTCGAGGATCAGCGAGATCTGGGCGTTGCCGTCGGCCTCGCAGGTACGTTTCGCCTGTTTGGTGGTGCCGTGGCGACGGCGATTTATACAGCCATCTACACGAACCGCTTCAACGAGGTCCTCCCGGGGCAGCTGACGGCTGCGATTGAGGCCTCGGACGTTGAATTTTCCGAAGGCCTGCTGCAGTCCATGATCAAGGCGGCGACACTCAACACACGCACAGCATATGAGGCGGTTAGCGGGGCGACGCCAGATCTCGTGGATCGGGTCATCGAGGGGGCGCGCGAGTCCTATGTCCAGGGGTTCAGCTTGGTGTATCTCGTAGCTATAGCTTTTGGCGTGTGCGCTACCATTGCGGCGGCGTGTACAGTGAGCACGGACCGGAGCAAGAAGAACAACGATCGAGCCGTTGTCATGAAGGATGAAGTGCTGAAGAGGGATGCGATGCTGCAGAAGAAGACGGTGGCATAAGTCAGAGGTCTGGACTGAGATGGGACAAATAATTATCAAACTATTGACACCTTCTCTACACAATGACTGAATTGGCTCCAGTGACTACGCGGGCACAACACCGTGAGATGCCGTTGGTGTCGAATGTGGGGTTCTGCGGCATTCTTTGCCTCATGGTGGCTTCGTCCTCGCAATACATGTACATCCTGCCTACGATGAAGCACCAGCAGCCCCTCATACGTGTCACTCAATCACGCCACACAATGCTGTCCGTGAGACAGCCTGATAGTCACTGCAACATAACGCAAACGGGTGTGGATGATTGATTGGCTTGAGCCTGCTGCAGTTGGAGAAAGGAGACGGCCGCGGGAAACTCTTCGCCGCGGATGGTGTCCTCCCCGCGGAAGATGACCGGGATCTTCACCATGGTCAACACTGGCGTTCACTGATTGTAGACCTCCTGCCTCTGTCTAGTTTCCCGCGGACGCAATGTGAGATGTAATGTCGGGCTTGAGGGGTGGATGAAGAGCTTCTGCCTATATATACCCTTGATAGGCACTCGCAAGTTGCTCACGACATTGTCCTCCCTCCTCATCCTCATCCTCCTCCTCATCGTCCTTCTATATCGATAATCCTCCCACACTGGCCATTATGGGCTCCGCCATTGCCATGTCCGACGCCGTTGACCCGGCCACCTTCTGGCCCCTCGCCTCGAAGCATATCCTGTACACAGGCGTGCCTCCCTCCCCCTTCATCATCACCAAGACTAAAGGCACACGGCTCTACGACTCGACGGGGCGACCGATCCTCGACTTCACGTCGGGTCAAATGTCGTCCCTCATCGGCCACGCGCACCCGGAGATCGCGGCCGTCATCAACCACCACGCCGCGAACCTCGACCACCTGCTGTCCAACATGCTGACGCAGCCGGTGCTCGACCTCGCGCAGGCCCTGGCGTCGCTGCTGCCGGCGCCGCTGACCAAGTCGTTCTTCCTGAGCACGGGCTCCGAGTCGACCGAGGCGGCCATCCGGCTCGCGCAGACGTACACGGGCCGGTTTGAGATTGTGGCCTTCTCGGCCTCGTACCACGGCCTCACGGCCGGCGCCGCGGCCGCGACCTACTCGACGGGCCGCCGCGCCGGCATCCCCAGCGCGCCGGGCCACATTGCCTTTCCGGCGCCGTATGCCTACCGGTCGCCGTTCCGCTGCGCCGACGGCACCTACGACTGGCGCGCCGAGCTCGACTACGGCTGGTCCCTCGTCGACAGGCAGTCGGTCGGGTCGCTGGCGGCCTTCATCTTCGAGCCCATCCTCAGCACGGGCGGCATCCTCGACCTGCCGCAGGGGTACCTCACCGCGCTGGCCGAGGGGTGCCGCGCGCGGGGCATGCTGCTCATCTGCGACGAGGCGCAGACGGGCGTCGGCCGCACCGGCCGCATGTTCGCCTTTGAGCACGACGGCGTCGCGCCCGACATTCTGTGTCTGTCCAAGACGCTGGGCGCCGGCCTGCCGCTGGCGTCCGTGACGACGTCGGCGGAGATCGAGAGGGGGTGTCGCGCCAAGGGCTTCCTGTGGCTGACGACCCATCTCAACGACCCGCTGCCCGCCGCCGTCGGCGCCAAGGTCCTCGAGATTGTGCGCCGCGACGGCCTCTGTGCCGCCGCCGAGGCGAGGGGCCGCCAGCTGCGCGAGGGCCTGCTGCGCCTCAAGGACAAGTACTGGTGCGTCGGCGACGTGCGGGGCAAGGGTCTGCTGCAGGGCATTGAGATCATCTCGGATGCCGAGACCAAGGCGCCGGGGTCGGAACTCGGCCAGGCCGTGTCGGAGCGGGCCATGGACAGGGGGTTGTCGTGCAACGTTGTAAATCTGCCGGGGATGGGTGGCGTGTTCCGCCTGGCACCGCCCGTGACCGTGACGGAAGACGAGATTGCCGAGGGCCTGGCTATCCTAGATGAGGCCTTTGAATATGTATTGAAGCAGCAGAAGAAGCCATAGGTTGATAGGATGTCGGGAGTCGAGAGGGATGAATACAGAATGGCTCGGAGCCTGGTTCGTACAATTTCTCGTGGTGTTGCACCGCTCGACCGACTTGTGATGTCCATGATACGTCCTGAAACGATCAGATTGGCGGATATGCTTGGCCTGGTTGCTCTGCGAAGTCTGCTGTGGAAGAGGCGTCCCCATGTAGATGTACAGAACGACAGGCGGATGAGGCTTCTTGTTCCTCAGGGCCACATCAGCACAAGCACCGCGCACTGCAACGCAGCCTGACGGCATTTCATCATCTTCATTCAGGCTATCACTCAAGACTCATCCTTGCCTCGTCTCCTATTCCCCATCCAGGGCCGCTTTGTCCCTGCAGTGCCAAGTTGACCCGCCTGCCAACGTCATCCACGCCTGCCTCATCACCGCTCATGACCTCGCTCTCTCGCCTTCCCTTCTTTCTCTCGGGAGCACCTTCGACGGCCGTCGTACTCGTCGCTACCGAGGTGGACGACTGGCCCGTTCCTCTCCTTCGCAATGGCTTGCGGAAGAATGATCGACCCCCACCGGAAGACGATAGGGATGCCGGGGCCTGTTCGCTTGCCCCGTCTTCGGAGAACGGCGGCAGATTATGCGTCGATTGCGTTGGTGACACCATCTTCTCGGAAAGTGTGCTATAGACGTGTGTTGTTGGCTGGGATGCTGCTGTTGTCGCTGCCGCTGCCGCCGCTGCGAGCTCCTCCTCCGAGATCTCGACGAGCTCGGCATCGCGGTACCACTTTCGGCGGCGCGTCCACTTGCCCCAGCCATCTTCCCCGCGACGGCCTGCTTGCCACTGGTCTTTGTTAGTTTCACGTTCCAACCCGCCGGCCACGAATACGTACCTTGTTATCATAGTAAATCCAGCCATTCTTCCCGGCTTCTCCGTCAAAATCCGTCTCTTCAGCAGCATCATCAGTCACGCCATCGACGCGCCAACGGCTTCCCACGACCCATCGCCACCTCATCTTGCTGCCATCCTCGACGTCAGGCAACTCAAAGACATCCTTTGCTGGGACGGAATTGTTATGCTCATCCGTCCATGCCGCACGCTCGTATGCAAACAAACTCTGTGTCCAACCCAAACCGACCCATCGTCTCTGGTTCTCGTACAGGATAAACGTGAATTTGACTCCAGCATCTCGTCCCGTGGCGTTGTTCCCGTGCTTGTGGCTCCTCTGACGAAGGGCTTTCGTCAGCTCGGAGGTCTGGCGATCAATCTTCGGCACAGGCCCATCGGCCGATGCCGTGACAATATCAGAGTCGGGCTGAGGCGTTAGCTTGCGATCGGGCTTTTCGAAGCGCAGCCCGGTGACGAGAGCCACAGTCTTCCTCACAGTCGCGCTCCGCCAGAGAATGGTTCTTGCCACCTTGGCCACGCGCGCGTGCCATGTCAAGACGAGCGTGCCGAGCAGCAACACAACTCTTCTGGTCGTGATGATCCTCCAAGGCGGCAGAGTCAGGGCCCACCAGAAGGGCGTGCAGAACAGGATTCGCACGAACAGGGCCGTCAGTGCGGGTCTCGTCGTGGCACTGGTAGGTGTGCGCTGCGTGCTCAGAAAGTCCGTCAACTCGAGGGCCGGGCCCAGCAGCACGTTGCACCGTCCCGTGAACTCCTTCAACGTCTCGACAATCTCGTCCAGCGTCTTCTGGTGGCGGGTGTGTGTGATCTCGGAGCCGGAGCGTGCATGTCCCTTCTGGTTTCTTGTCGGTTCGGGGTCGCGGTCATCCATCCAGCCGCTGCTGCTCAAAGGGCTGTAACGGCGGGCGTACATGGCGAGAATGAGGCCGATGACGAGGACCAAGGGACCGGCACTGCGGATGACGACATCGCCGTAAAGAACGATGGCCCACCAGGCACAGACGAGGAGAAAGCTCTCCCAGGGGTCACCGGTTGTCCAGCTCAGCAGCCCGACGGCTTTGTTCATGGGTAGGAGAAAAGAGTGCGAGTAAGCGAGGGCGCGTGTGATTTGTGGCGGCGTGGCCAGCAACAGGGGGCTTTTCTGGTGTACGAGAATGGTGGATCGACGAGAGGAGCGGGAGGGGACGGATGCCGACAGGGTGACGGGCGAGAAGGAGGCAAAGGTCGGAGGTGCGCCGGAGGGCGCCGAGTTTTGAAGATTGTCGTCGGCCACGGACGAGGCATCGTCGCCGCCTCGGGCGGGTTTTGGGGTCGCCATGTGGGAGAGCCAAGGCGTGTCCTAGCAAGTAGCAACGTTAACAACCCTGCTGTTATCCGATGGCGTTGAGGTGGAGGTGGACGAAGGTAAGTGGCAGTAGAAAGCGACGAGGCGTGCTGGCTCGCCTGGTGCGATGACGTGGGAAACGATATCGCACGGGACAGGTGGGTAGAGTTGGGGTACACCGAGGCAAGGTCCCCACGCGCGGCGCGCTGATGCTGGTCAGGGCAGCGAGTCGCGCGTCAACCGTGCTTGGGGCGGGTGGACACGGTGATGGGATGAATGGTGATGAAAGGGAGAGAAGGGTTGGGTGGGAGGCGGACGTGGGGATGGAGGCGGAGATGGGAACGGAATTTTTTACTCACAAAGGCAGCCATGAAATCTCGCGACGTGGTTCCAGAAGGAAAGACTGAAAGACAGAAAGACAGCAGGAACGACCAGGATCGGGCCTCGACTGACTGACGATCAGGCTGACGTCGGTGTGCCAGCTAGCGGTACCTTCGCTGTGGCTGTAGGGAGGTGAGTAAGGCAGGTAGCAGCACTGGCGCAGCCGTGGCAGCGGCACCCACGACGCGACTGCGACTGGATCGGATGGCAGGCGAGATCGATCAGTCTGGCAAGTGTGTGCGGCCCCTTTCCTTCGCTCCTCCAAGCGCAACGGCAAAGTCAAGTGCAGGCGCAGGTGCAAGTGCAAGTGCAAGTGCAGGCGCGACAACGAACAGTGGAAAGCAGGCGCAACGATGTGGTCATAACGTCATCGCCCTGCTTGCTCCCCCAGAGGTAAAGAAAAAGAGGTCAAGTCGATCGATGGTGGTCCACCAAACCTCACGACTGCCGCCCCCGGAATGTTCGGCTTTGGTCGGCCAAGGCCTTGCTGGTTCTTAGCGTCTTGTTGCGATGCGCGAGGGGGGTCGCTCAATGTGAGCCGAATTAGCGCTCAACTCCAAGATGAGATGTTTGGTGATTGAGGTGAGAGTCGTGGGCAGAGGAGGAAACGCAGAGCAAACGGAACAATCTCCGTCACGCATTCCATCTGCACACCTCGAGAACATCCCAGCGTGCCCAGGCGCTGACTGATATGCACCCCTCCACTGGAGCTCCCCCTGCTACAGCACCCCCGCCTTCTGCGATCGGCCCCCATCCTGTCGGCAACGTCGCGATCACATGCAAATCATCGTCTCTCATGCTCACGTGTCACGTCAACACCAAGATCGGACATCACGAGACCAACATATGAGGCGCTGCACGTAGTCCAATGGCAATGTGGTTCTGGCTGGCGATGATTTCTCCAGAAGCGATTTCTAGCTGTTGATGATCACCATGGACATCTCTCCAGCAAAAGTCCTGCCCAAGTTCTACGTCCTACGAACTGCCAAACTCCAATGCTTGAACACCCTGCTATGCCATCCGAGCACTGACGGCCGTCTGAACCACAAACGCGATTGTGGCGAATTGTCCTCACTCATAGGAAACCATCTGAAAGAAAAAGAAGAAAAAAGAACCCGGCTCCCTTCACGGGGGCGGCAGCGTCAGTCCAGTCAGCATCGTGATCGCTGGGTTGACCTTGAGCATCCAACGCACAAATTTCACGCTCTGCATCTTGTTTCGACCACTGCCAACTGTGAATATCATCTTCTGCTCCAACATGCCTTCCTTCGGTTTCAAGATGACCTCGGCGCGAGATTTATCTGCCGTCTGGCTGTACTGCATGCTCTGAACAGCCCGTGGATTAATGGCCACGTCCATTTCGTCTGCGTCGCTCGTTCTCGCCACGCCCGCCTCGTCCACAGCCAGGCTGAGAGAGAGCGATGGGTGGGACCACCGTCGGTTCCCTTGCTGAAACACCGACACATGCCACACTGTGTCGCTCACGCCAGGCTCGGCCCGGGCAGCTGGTGAGCAGGGGACAGGCGGCGGAGCCGCCGGCGTCGACGTGCGGGATCTCGCCAAAGAATCTGTGCCCGCTTTCGAGCTGGCGTGGTTGGCCGATTCTGTCTGTTTGTTGGGGGCTTCAGGCGCTGGCGCTCGAGACGGTTCTGCTACGCCGTCTTGAGCGGCCGAAGCTGTCTTTGGCTGTCCTTCTGAAACAGACGTTGCTGCCGCAGGTGTTGCTGGGGCCGGCGCCGGTACTGGTGTGGTCTCAGTCGCCGGGTTCTGTCCTCCATCGACCTGAGTTGCAGGCACTGGAGAGGGTATAGCAGTATGTGGAGGAGGTGTGACAGTTGGTGAATCAGAATCAGTTGCCCGAACAGCTCGCCAGCGGTCACTTGGGTCTACCGCACGTGGACCGGTGTTCACAACAATGGGCTGGGAACTCGTAGAGGTCGGTGCGACATTGTCCTCGACGGGGCTGTTGCTCATCGGCCCGCCGTTGGCCCTGACGCTCACGCCGCTAACACTGGCAGGCGTATTGTTGGCCTTGGCTGCCTGGTTTGACGTCACGTCTCCGTCTCCATCTCCGTCCCCGTTCTCTGCGTCGCTTGGCGCCCTTTCCTCGTGTGATTCTTGTGCCAATGTCGTGGCCTCGTCCGAAACAGTCCGCTCAGCAAACGGTACCGCAGAAGAGTTTCTGACTGCTTGATGCGGAAGAGGCGCAGGTGTTATACTCCTGGCAACCGACGGTTCATTCTCCTCGGCACCTATTACCGAGACCCGATCCTCATTCCCATCCTGTGGAGGCTGCTGCGTCGTCCCTTGCCCTGGGCCGTTATCAATAGTGCTGACCTCTTTCTCCCCATTCGTGTCAAATGCGTCAATAGCGGCGGCAGAGACTGCGGGCTTTTGACCAAGCACTTCTTGAATGGCCTCCGTGGCAACCTTGAAGCACGCCTGATCAACTAGCCGTTGGCGAGCTTGATCCACGACGTCCTGCAAATTCGTCCCGACGACTCCGTCCGTGGGTGTCGGCTCCTCCCGAATACTCTCCTGTGGAGGTTCCTGTAAAGGTTCCCGACCCACTTGAACAAGTGGGCGGGTTGTCTCTGGAGTCTCGCGTCTCTGCAGCTCAGGCGTCTTCTCAGAGGCATCTAGCGGACTAGTCTCCTGATCTTCGATCGCTGCAGGAACTTGGGACGCCTTCTTGTCCAGAGGGGTTCCCAATTGAATCGAAGGCTGGTCCTGAGGTGCCTGAGGCGTGACCGCCGCGGCTCGTGTATCTGATTCTTCTTCCTTGGTGCTTTTGCGAGCACGCCGGCTCAGTGGTGAGAGCACCGGGGATGCATCTTTCATGTCAATGTCGTGTCCCACGGACTGTTTCTTCGTTGAGGAGCGAGTGCCGGCTGCGGCTCCAGCACGAACAGGGGTTACGGGACGCATAGCTTCCGACTCGGTGGCCTTGGAGCGTAACTCTTGAGTACTCCTCCTTGGCGGCGGTTTCGGGTGCCGCGAGGACTGCGAAGAGGCAACCGATTCGGCCATGTCTCGATCATCAGAGGCGTGGTAATCGCTATCGCTGGCATGGTCTTCAGCGGGCGGACGACTCCTCCGCTCAGGCGCTTCCTCAACAGCAGACTCGCTATCAGAGTCAGTATCATCGATTTCAACGATGCCTTGGTCATCATTCGGGCGTTCAACGGCCGAGGCAACAGTAGAAGCTCGCGTTGCGCCACTTGTTTCCGCGCCCAAGCGCCCGTTCGAGAATGGACCCAGGCCGTCAGGCGCTTCATCGGGATGGCATCGGAAGTACCACTCGCGTGCTCTGATCTGTGGGTGATTTGCATTTCTTTTAGGAACGGGGAAGATATTAAAGTTTGAGAGCTCCTCGGCGCGAACCCAACCTTCTCGGTTGTCCTCTGTTTTGGTGCCCTCAAACCAAATGACGGGGAACCAGCGCTTCTTAACGTGTTTGCCACCGTCCTCGAAGTCGGGCATCCATCCGGCGATGCCCTGAGCATCGTAGGCATAGCAGGTTTTGCGTTGTGCCTGCTGAATAAGTTCTAGTTGACTCAACGTGGTACCGGGGAGACCGCAAACCGTGAGGTCTTTCCACGCCAGAATCATGACGATGTACTTTTTCACCCTGTCAAGAAACCGACGCTTCGGGGTTGCATAGTAGAGTTTTCCAGCCACGGGATTAACGATAATTTCTCGATTGGGGGATTTTCGTTTGTCAACCTTGTGGAAGTGAGATACTTTGTGTGTCGCGTTTGCTTCCGGCTCAACCCGTATTTGTTGACTCAGCTGTGGTGTATGGGCTTGATGTGAATCCACTTCGACTGTTGTTTCGGCGGTGATCGAGTCTGTGACCGAAGCTGTTTGGTTCTCCTGAAGAAGAGATTCGTTTGAAGGTAAGGAATAGCCGTTCTCAAACGCTTTGGCGACGACTGCGTTGTGCCTGCGCATCTTCTCGTCATCGCAGTCGACGATGCGGCGGCCAAGTTGCTCCAGGGCCTGGGAGTGATGGCGACTCATTTTACCATGCGCAATGGAGTCGAGGTGTTTTGCCGCTGCCGTGAGAGCTCTCTGCCTAAAGTGGACGCCGTGCTCTTCGCAGTAGAGAATGTAATAGTTGCCGTCTTCCCATTTTATGATGGTATGCATGTACTTGGGCATGCCTCCCTGGTGCACGTCCTCGAAACAGATCCTTCTCTCCACGGAAATGTTGATATCCGGGATACACTTAGGCACGTCACTTTTTCTAAGACGCTTGATGCGCTCATCGCTTTGTTCCCTTTCGGATACTGTTCCACTGTCCGCAACTTCAGACTTTCGCTTCTTTTGCTGGAACAACGATGGGTCTAGTCCGTAGTTTGGGTTTGGCGATGGGTTCACTGGCCTCGGCCATGACTGTGTCTTCTGAGGTCTTCTTTGGTTTGGAATAAAAGCCTGCATCTGTGCTTGTATTTCTGCCTGTGCCTCGGCCTGTATTCCTCCCTGTGCCTGTGCTGGGGTTTCATCCTGGGGTTTCGCTGAGGTTTTACCCCGAGGCTCAGTTGGAGCGGACTGCGGTGACGCCGCGCGTGCCTGCAGATAGTCGTTCGCAGTCTGTTGCAGTTGATGCGGAACAGGGGAGGCCCTCGGCGTTGGCTTAGCAGACAGGATTCTCGGTGTGCCAGCTCGACTAGCATCGGGCTGCTGCAGAGGCGAGTTGTTGCCTGATGGGTGGGGGGGTCCGCCAACAGAGGTGCTGCTGCCCGCAGCAGGGTTAAGGGGGGACGGCCGGAACGAGACGGGGGGCTGCGATGCGTTTCTTGGCGGGCCTTGTTCCGTGAGATTGGATGGCAACGGTGTCGAACTCGGAACTGGCGATGGTTTGCTGTTTGTCAATGGCGAGACGACGGGGCTCACTTCCGACATGCGAGGGCTGGCGACGGGGGTGCTAACGGGGACTGGTTTCGACTCGCTGTACATGGTGCCCATTCTTGTGAGCAGGTCACGCTCTTCTCTCCTCTTGCCTTCGAGTATGTCTTTTTTCCGAGCCTCATATGATAGCTGCAGTTTATCAAGGTGCAAATCTTGATTCTCCAGGAGAAGATACCGCAGCATGCCCTTGACATCTGGCGGCACATCTTGGCGATACAGAAAGGCCAATTGCTGGTTTTCACACTCAGCCTTGATCTCGCGTTCTTTGATGGCATAGTCATCTTGGGCAACCGCACTGAGGCGGTTGTAGAGATCCTCAATCCGCTGCAAATCACTCATTGTACTTGAAGTGAAGTAGCGGCTTGCGGCAGCTGAAGCCTGCCGCTGAGGATTTGCCATGACGGCGTGGAGTGAATTCACCGGATGAAGCGTGTCAAGCTGCGTTGACTGTGAGTATGTTGATGAGCCACGTATTCAATCATGACGGCTCCATCACCATATCCCGCTCTCGACTCGGGGACTGAAAATATCCGGAAGCACAAGGCTGCGTTGATGGCCGCGAGCAGGGTGATCTAGCATGACAGAGATCGTGTGGCGGGTTGGTGTCAGGGAAGGTACAAAAGCAAGGCGCGCGAAAACTGGGAAGGTGCATTGGTGGGAGTGTTTTTGGCATAACACAGCCAGGAGGAGGACAAAATCTGGAATGTACTGCACAGGACAGCACAGGACTTGGGATGTGGTACCGTAGACCTGGCGCCGTGAGTCGATAGATAGCCTCGCTAGCAAAAGGTATTTGTCGAAATTGAAGTTGGTGTAAACAGAGGTTTCGCAAATGGGGAACATAGAAAGAGAGACCAAGGACTTACTGAGCGAACGGAATCAAGAGAAATGGCCGATGCTGGGCCGGCAGAGGTCGAAGAGTCGAAAGTGGGGAGGCGTTGCATAAACGAAGGGCTGCAAGAGAAGCATGGGACGGATGGAGTTGTGGTGGTCGTAGTTATGCAGGACTGGGTTGACTCAGTGCTGAACGGCAGCAGAAGAATGCTTCATCAGCTGTCGCCTGCGCAGAGGCAGATGCACACGCCCAGGTTGGGAAGGAAAGAAACAGAGGTGGAAGAGAGAGATGGGTTTGGCGATCCCATGAATCGTGTTGGGATGGCTCCTGAAGTAGAAAAGTGGGTGAAGGAAAAGAAGATGCGGATGGGGGTAGAAACAAGTATGTGAAAAGACAGATCGATAGCGCAGTATCTTATGACCATAACGCTGCTACGGTTTCAGCGGAAAGACCATTGGGGCGAGGTGCAAAGCAAAGCGGAGGAATAATAGAGAGCTAATCTAAAAGAGCGCGCACAGTGTGATGCCGTATTGTGATTCGTCCTTACCGTCGCGTCATCTATCACATCCAGCGTCTTCGCCTATCCCCTTTTGCCATGTATGGGGAGGACAGATACCCGACCGCCGCAGCACTCGAATGGTATGATAAATTCACGTGGTATCTGTGAAGAGGGAGACCACCTGATATTTGTGCTCGCAGAAAGCGCCGAGTGGCAGGGAAGATGCTCCTCATGGCCCAACAGGCGATGCCGTAGGCATTGTGAGGATGTTCGATACGGGCCCCACTCACCACAGCCGTGAACTCTCGTGGACTCGCACAGTGGCTTTTTGTAGCGCCTGGGCCTATCGAATTCTGTTTGTCTGAGAGGGCGTATCTGATCCTGGTTCTTACCGACCGCCAAAACCTGAACTTGCTCATATGACAGACCCACGTAGACAGGGGGGGGCCGCCAGCATGTTACCAACCAACAAGGCATTGAGACCAACACCTCGATCATGCCAGTCTCGCACTGAGGCATCGCTATCAATACCCCAGCGCATATGGCACTGGAAGCTTGTATCAAGTGTGCGAATTTATATTGATAAAGTTTTGTTCAAAATCTCGTGCATCAAACTACATATGACACGACTGATAATTGGCTTTCACAGACTTGTACATTGTATGAAGGGAGGCGTACGACCAACGCAGTCGATGGATGACCTATCCATGTTTCAGGTCGGCGATCAGTACGCAACTGGCTCATATAAGGTTTATTCACTGCAGCTATAGCTCACCAAGTGATAGCACGACTGTGCCGCCTCCCTCAGGCCTTCCCAGCCTTACACCTCCAACATGACGAGCCTTGCGCAATGTTGGGATTGCGACTTGACAAGAGAAATGGCTGTGGAGTAAGGAACTCCAAGTCTAGCACTGCCATTCCCTTTCCCCCTCAACTCCCCTGTTCTCACCAAGTCATAGCATCGTACGGATACCTTAACCCCACAGGTGGCGATTCAGCTATAGTGTTCGCCCACATCATCTCGTCCGCATCGTGAAACTGACTCGATCCCGCGAGTCCACCCAGCCCAGACGTCTCGGATGGAATTGTCTGCGGTGTGCTCGATTGCGGCGTGATATCAGCAAGTGCAGTATCATCAGCTCGAGGAGGGCCGTGCAGCAAGCAAAAGTTGACTCCCGGGGAGTCGGCCATCTTCTCAGCCAGCTTGGGGGCCAAAAACTCGAAAGCCTGATGATCGGTCAACATTAGGAAATGAAACACGCAGGACCGCTGATGAAAGAAAAGAGAGCTGATTCGTACCTTGGTCGCAACAGAAGATTTGATCCCTAGATGATGCATATCGATCGCCAGCTGATTCGCCAACGAAGCAACCATGACATTGCTCCGACCCACTGTGATGAGCATGCCCACGAGAAAGTCCATGTTGCTCTCGCTCTGCTGGCTGTGCCCCGCCGCAAAATCTTCGAGAAAGACGAGAGCTGCCATGTATGCCGCAAAGGTCAACATGGCGTTTTGCATGGTGGCTTCGATGTCGGGAACCATGCGGAAGACGTGCAAGATTTCCTCCGCTGCTGGGAGGAGTCTGTTCTGACTCTGGCGGACTGTGTGCTCTGGCAGAACGTCCTGCAGCGGCCGTATGGTCCACTGCGCCGCTCGGTGGAGGGAGATGATGGCCGCTTGGGTCATGATGTTGACGAAGACGGCGTTGGGGGAGCGGATGTTACGAGGAAGGCGTAGCGTTTCGGGGAGCGCCATGAGCAGTGTGGCTAGGCTGTTGTCTATGTCTCTGTGCTGTTTCCAGTACAGGCCGTTTTTGACATCTTCGGGGTTGCCTTCTGCAGCTGGCTGCTCGGTGTGCTCCATCGTTTTATGGAAGAGGTGGGCGGCGAGGATCCGGCCGGCAAAGGAGGAATATCTCTCGCCTGTGTCTTGCAGGACGCTCTTCAAGGTGGTGGTCTTTTCCTTGACTCCGCTCCTGAATGCCTCGTCAGAAGCTGGAAGCAGAATGTGAATCTGCACTTTCGTTAGCGTTGCTCCATCGTCGGGGTGGAAATCCTCACGTCTCGGTCATTCACCAAGGCAGGCCAGCCCGTGGCACCGCACACAAATCTGTCGATGCAGAACACAACCCACCACGTACGTCGCCGCTCTTCCGTCTCGGTCCAGTCTCGCGCAGGGGCGAGCATGGATCGAGCTTGCGAAGCTTTTCGATCAAGCTGGTGCAAGTTGAGCATCTGAGCGATGCGAACGCTACGGCCAAGACTTGTTGATGACCGCGAGTACCACATCTGTCGGGCCTCGTAATTCGAGCACAGAATCCAAAATTGGGCATGATGTAATGTCAAAAAGTACTCGCCTTTCCCCTAGCCAACAAGAGTCAGGAATTGCTGCCAGACATGTAGCGAGTTTGCTCACCTTCATCTCATCAGATTCGGCATAAGCGCGTGCGCGCTGGTAGAAAGGCATTGCCAGCTGCTGATGTACACGGTTGACTGTGGCTGCAGAGGCCATGACAATGTACTGAAGACACATTGGAGGGCGCATATGGGCTGGTAGGTAGAGAGACGCTATGTAGCGCTCCTGATGAAGCATGGGGGCCGCATGGTGGAGCTCATCAAAGAAGATGGCCGTTCTGCACAAGTCAGCTCAGTCGTACGCCTTCCATGCGCACTAACTCACAGTTCCTCTATCAGTTCGATAGCAGGCAGCTGCTCAAATAGACCGAGCCTTGTGATTCCAGTCTGGGACGGGTGGTCATCGTATGGCGGGGTGGGCTGCACGGCAGGGTTGGTCTGGATGGGCAGGCTGCCGAAAGCTGTCCCAGTCGGCAGAAAGGCGTCAAAGTTGGTTGTAGCAATGTCGGGAAAATCGTTGTTTTCAGGCTCATTTGCGGCACTAATGATCTTGATCTTGTTCTCGAGCTGGCCTGTGGGCATGTCGGTTAAGTGGCTTGTCCTGGGCCCCTACTAGTCAAGCGGCCCCAACTTACCCAGCTTGGCCTCCAACTCACGCACCTGCGTCCTCTTCCCAACATTGGTCTTTCTCGAGCCAGGGTATTCACAATCCTCATCTGCCTTGACACAGCGCGAGCACCGTGGCGTGGAACGGTCGCACTTCAGCTTCCGACCCCTGCACCTGCGGCAGGAGATCCGGATGACAGGAGGGGGTTCATTGGGTCGCGGCGGCGGCCCATCCGATGACCCTGGCGTCGCCATGCCCGAAATAGTGGCTATGCGTGTGGCGCACTGGGCTCAGTGATGCAGTACCGTCGGCCTCTGGGTCGGAGTGCGCTTGTTTGTATGAAAACTGCTCACATGCAAGGATGAGTTGATGATGGCCGCGCCTCTAACGCGTGCCGGGGTTACGGCTGACACTGCTGACATATCCCGGAGCTGATGCTCCACCGCGGTGTCCGACGAACAGCGAAGTGGGGCTGACGCCGGATGGTCGAAGAGGCTGGTTTTGAGCAGGAATACCACAATGTAAGCTATTTGAGACTTGCGCATGTACAATACAGTCTGGGTTCGATGCTGGTTGCTGCTTCTGTCTTTAAAACAGGCTTTCGGTCTCTCTGACTCGCTCTACATGAAAGATCCACCATAATAGGCAACTTCAACGTCTTGGGAGTAGTCCTGCTTCTCTTTCAACGTCCCTCATAAGCTGACGCTATCGTAAAACGAGTCCTCCATTTTCCTGTGGTTTTCGAAGGTCGGCACAATTACAACGATCATCATGTTAAAGTTTTATTTATCCACGGCAACGATATGACATCTTGAGCATCACTACCCAGATCCTCCTCAGTCATTTCATCGACGACAAGACTACAAGCCTGCTTCTGTGCCCCCCCATGTGAAGGAATCTTCTGCTGATGCCACGATGAGATCTCTATTGAAGTCATTAAAGTCTGCTCCGCTGGCGTCGAGATCGTACTTTCCATTCGACGCCTTTAATGGTTTAGCACCGTTGCGCTCCCGTATCGGTCGCCTGTTATCTTGATGATTGGTCTTCCCTACAAGCTGATTCATGTTTTCGAAAACTCCCTCTTCGGACGTGGACTGCAAGGAGCCATTTTCAGAGGACCGTAAACGGGAGGCCTAGGGAGCAAGAGTGGGCCCATTCTAGGGGCACTGATAGAGAGTGGTTTGGGCAGAGTGAAGAGGTTTCGCACGTGGTCCGTCGGCAATAGAAAATAGGTGTGGGGTTGTAATGCATCTGAGGTCTGGCCCTCAGCCCTTGTATACACGTTCTCGTAGTTTTTAGCCCCCAACCAGCCCCCGCCCCTGTTCTGTAGCTCGACAGGGGCCTCACTGTGTAGGCACATCAAAGGGCCGCAGATACTCTTTGGAGCACCACGTTTCAGGCATTCTTCGATCTGCATCTCATGATACGTTAGCGGTGCTAATGTAAGACACTCCACTCTGCTTTCACCTATGTTCTAACATGGACTTCGACAAGTTCTCCAGTACTTGGTATGCGACGTTGATGTATGAACGTGTCATTCATCTGCGGCGTACTGCTTCTGATTTAACTTTCCCGTCGACTTGGCTTTGCCCTTGATCAGGGAGGGGGTAAGAGGGCGAGAGGGCCATGGTTTCGCTGGGCTCGCAGCTACGACCGAGAGCCTTGCCTTTTTAGCACCAGTGCTGGACAGACAGGGGTACTAACTCCGGGGGCACAGCGCCATTCGTATGGTCAAGGTAAGTTGCTCTTAGCACTGTACAAAGAATTGCTGAAGTGAGAATCCAAGACCAGAGCAGAGAACTCACCCATCTAGCAAGATACGGACCCCCCAGCACACACACACACACACACACACATGTTAACCAACACACCAGACCTAGAGGCGCTGACGCCGCGGGAACTGAATCAACTGAATCAACTCCAAATAGAATAACCAGCCCCTCGCCCATAACTCGAAATGAATCCCATGAACCAGCGGACAACTAGAGTATGGCTATCTTGGCGGTCAAAGGACGATGCAGCGGCGCGTGCGTCTTTTTGCCTACATAGAATTAATTTTGGCGTTGGATATATCATCATGTAGCCTTGACCAGCTTGACTGCCACTCGCTGCCAACGCCCACAGGACATTTGAAGAATGCAAGACATGGAATCAGGCGCTTAACCGGCTCATAAACTGGTCGGTTGGGGTGTTCGCACAACATATAAGTATATGAATAGATCACGTTCGTCCTCTACACTGCTCTCATCATTATCATAAGGTAAGCCCCCCTCCCCACTCGATCGCCTACGCCGCGGCAGTATCCATATGCCGCTCCAGCTCCCTCTCCGTCCACGCCCACAGCGCCTCCTCCATCTCTCGATCGCGCGCATGCTTCGACGCCTTGCCAGGGACACCGACGGGAAAATAAAACTCGCCCGACTCCGCCTCGGGGCTGACGGCAGCCCACAGCTGCGTCTTGGCGCCCGCCGCGACGGGCGTCTGCAGGACGTCCCCGACGAGGCGGACGAAGCGCACGAGCGGCGCGAGGATCGGCCAGCTGGCCGCGACGCCGTTGGTGATGTTCGTGTTGACGACGCCCGGGTGCAGCGCCACGGAGCGGAGCGCTGGGTGACGCACCGCCAGGGCGTGGGCGTGCAGAATGTTGGCCACCTTGGAGAGGCTGTAGCGGGCAAAGCCCGAGAGGGCGGCCATGTCCGTCCTCAGCGTGTCGAACGCGCCGGGGTCGAGGAAGGGGGCCCAGGCCTCGGCTGAGGAGGCAATGGTGATGATGCGCACGTCGTGCGGCGGCGGCGGCGACGGGGCGGCGGCCGTCTTGAGGAGCGTCGGCAGGAGGAGCTTGGTGAGCAGGGCGTGGCCGAGGTGGTTGGTGCCGAAGTGGAGCTCGTAGCCGTCCTTGGTTGTGCCGGGCGGCTGGGCACAGATGCCGGCGTTGTTGATGAGGAGATCGAGCCGGTCTGCCTGGGCGTGAAAGTCGGCCACTGCCTTCTTGATACTATCGAAGGATGCCAGGTCGAGACGGAGGTATGTGATGGGTGCCGCGTCGGGGACGGTCTTCCGAATGTCCGCAATGGCGTCGAGGGCCTTGGACTCGGATCTGGCCGCCAGGAAGATCATGGCCGGATTATGCTTGCAGAGTTGCAGCACCGTCTCCTTCCCGAGGCCATTGTTGCCTCCAGTGACAAGAATAACCTTGCCTGAGAGATCGGGAATGTCTTGGTCGGGATTGAAGTTCACCATGGTGTCACTCTAGTACAAGCGGCATATGGTTCATGGGAAGCATATGAGAGGGTTCTTACTACAGCCATATATGTGATCCCTAGTGAGCGGCACATCAGGGAAGACTCTCGGACACAGTGTTAGTCGCGGAGATTGCACTACGCGTCCAGCCCGTTAGAGTTTCGGTTTTGCGATATATAGGCTTTGCACCAATTATGCGAGCCTTCAGTCGGCGGGAGGCGGTACATAGACAAGGACGATGGCGGACAACGGCAACATGATGAAGCGCAAACGCGTCCGAGCTCCCCGCTGACCGATTCGGTAGCATGCGATACCCCCATGTCAAGGATTCCGTCTTTCCTCCGGCTCAATGGATACGTTGAAGGGTAGCAGCGGACTTTGGTTGCGACGAGCGGAGTTTGTCGACTGGTCACGGCCGTCAGAACTGAGGTGCACGTCAACATTGTCAATGATTCGCCCAGACTTGTAGCTTTCAACCCTTGAGTACCGTCGGGACGGAGAGAATGGCGACCCGCTTCATCAAGTATAGTTTGGGCGTCGGACATTTGAAAGAGCGGCACAATGCGCAACAGTTGTTCGCAAGCTCGTTTCTCTACGGTTGCGAAGGTTTGGTTGAATTGAGTTGTCACAGTGAAAGGTTGTCTCATGTGGCTGCCTTAGCAGGTGGAACTTCGGTGGACTATTGCGGCAAAACGCGATTCTTCATGTTGAACCCATGCATGTTGTCAGCTCGTTGTGAAAAGATCACCCCGACGCCGTCTACCACGTTTCAACACGGCGTCGTCCTCGTGTACGATGCAACGAACGACAGCCGCCACCGCGTAGAGCATCACATCAGGCAGGCAGTGATGGTGAATCAATAATCAATTTTCGAGGCCGCGTATCTGTTGAATACCTGTGACCGTTCCCATCCGTACGCCAAACGCATGCTTTGTGTGAATACTTTTGTGTCTTTCGTGTTTGTGGTGTTGCACATGTTCATGGTATTGCCCATATCCTCCTCGAGCACCAGACACGAGCCGGCTACCAGCCGCGGGTGGCGAGCCTCTCGCTGTCCTTCATGGTGTCGCAGTTGATGCCGACCATGGCCTCACCGAGGCCGGTCGAGCACTCGGCGAGCACGGCAGCGTCCTGGTAGTGGGTGGTGGCGCGGACGATGGCGCGGGCGCGCTTGGCGGGGTCGCCGGACTTGAAGATGCCGCTGCCGACAAAGACGCCGTCGCAGCCGAGCTGCATCATGAGGGCGGCGTCAGCGGGGGTGGCGACGCCGCCGGCGGCAAAGTTGACGACGGGCAGGCGGCCGAGCTCGGCGACCTGGCGCAGCAGGACGGGGTCGGCGCCAATCTCGCGGGCCATGGCGCGGATGCCCGTCTCCCCCTCGGTGGCGAGCAGGGCCTGGGCGCGGGCAATGTCGCGCTTGACCGTCTTGACGTGGGTGACGGCCTCGACGACGTCGCCGGTGCCGGCCTCACCCTTGGTGCGGATCATGGCGGCGCCCTCGGCGATGCGGCGCAGGGCCTCGCCGAGGTTGCGGCAGCCGCAGACAAAGGGGGCCTTGTAGGGGGACTTGTCGACGTGGGCGTCCTTGTCGGCGGGGGTCAGGACCTCGGACTCGTCAATGTAGTCGACGCCGAGGGCCTCGAGGATCTGGCACTCGACAAAGTGGCCGATGCGGGCCTTGGCCATGACGGGGATGGTGACGGCGGCCTGGATCTCGCGGATGACGGCGGGGTCGGACATGCGGGCGACACCACCGTCCTTGCGAATGTCGGCGGGGACGCGCTCGAGGGCCATGACGGCGCAGGCACCGGCCTCCTCGGCGATGCGCGCCTGGGCGGCGTCGGTCACGTCCATGATGACGCCGCCCTTGAGCATCTGGGCGAGGCCAGCCTTGACGGCGAAGGAGGCTGAGGCATTGTTCGGGATGGGCGTGGCGCCGTTGGCGGTGGTGGCCGAGGTGCCGTTGGCAGCGCCGTTCTGGGTGTCGGACATGATGGGGAGGTGTGAATATTGTCTTGGGGAGGGGTGGACAAGGGTATAGCAAAGCAAGACAGAACAAGGACGAGAAGTCAATTGAGGTTTCGGGACGGCGTGAAAGGAGGTGACGGCGATGAGGAGGTGACGGCGATGAGGAGGTGAAGAAGAAGGGAGGTGCGTCAAAAGTAGATCAGAAGGGGGGGGGCGAGATGTCTCGGTAGGAGCCGAAGCACGACTAGGGACTGATGATTCACGAGGCGGGCAGGGGCAGGTGAGAATCGGGACGATGCGGGGTCGGTCGTGATGTCCAGGGCCAGAAGGAAGAGAGCAGCTAGGGAAGCAGCGAACGAGGGAGGGGCACGTGGAAGGGGGGGGGGGGTTGGAAGGGGCGGGGCGAGGCAGCACGTTTATATCGCGCCAGAAGGTCACAGAAGAATACGGAAAGAAGCGAGGCAGAGAGAGGAACGCCGGGATCTGGTTGTTGGCAGGCACAGCAACAGCGGCGGCACGAAACTTTTTTTTTTCTCGCCTTTTTTCGCCGCCAGTTCGGAGACGGAAGGCGCAAGGCGGAGGGCGCAGGACAAGGGCGTGGCACTAGAGGCGTGACAGTCTGACGCGCCGCGAGGTCGAGGTACCGGTACCTCGATGGAGGGGTAGTGGCGGGGTCGTCAGGGCCTGGGCCGGTCTCGGACGGGGACAGGCGCGGCTGCCATCGGATGGGGTGGGACTTGCTCTCTGACCAAACTTGGGTGAGGTGCCCCGTACCTCTGCCACGCCCACGAGCTCGCCGCGCAAACGACGCGGCCGCGGTTCCGTCGACCCGCGGCGCTGCCTCGAACCCGTCGTCAGGCGTGGTGTCATTGGCCAGGATGCCAGATCTAAACTGGTTCGAGCAGCCCCGAACGAGGCGCCCCGACCCCGGAATCCCTCGGCGGGCCTCGAGCTAAGTGCCGGCGAGGTAGCGGTACTTGGGACCCTTGACTCACCTTGTTCACATGTGCATGCGCCTTCTGGTCTGACTGCCATGACGAGCCGCCATCTCCTTCTGCCTTGACAGACCTTAACAATCACACGCCTGACTCTGCTCCACCACATCTCTCACCTGAGAACAGCCCGTCTCTGCGCCAACATCTCTCACCTGAGAAACAGCCCGTTTCTGCTCCGACAACTCTCCTCCGACCAACAGTCTTTCTCTGCGTCAACTTCACTCACCCGAGGAACAGTCCTTCACTCCAACAACTCTCACCCAAAAACAGCCCTTCCCTGCTCCAACGTCTCGCACCCGACAGACGCCTCCTCCCACCGCACAGGGCCCCCCCTCCCCACGATGCCCACCATCGGCGTCCTCAGCCTGCAGGGCGGCTTCCAAGAACACCTCACAGCCCTCGCCCGCGCCGCCGCCTCCCTCTCCGCCTCCGCCCCCTCCGCCCCCGCCTTCACCCCGACGCCCGTCCGCACGCCCGCCGACCTCGCCCGCTGCGCCGCCCTGCTGATCCCCGGCGGCGAGTCGACGACCATCGCCCACCTCGCCGCCGAGTCGGCCCTGCTCGACCCGCTGCGCGCCTTCGTCGCCGCCGGCCGCCCCGTCTGGGGCACCTGCGCCGGCGCCATCCTGCTCGCCGACGAGGCCGTCGCCGCCTCGGCCAAGAAGGGCGGCCAGGCCCTCATCGGCGGTCTCGCCGTGCGCGTCCACCGCAACCACTTTGGCCGCCAGATCGAGTCCTTTGTCGCCGACCTCGAGCTGCCCTTCTTGCGTGGTGGCCACGAACAACAACAACAGCAGCAGCAGCCGGCGCGTCTCTTTAGCGGCGTCTTCATCCGCGCTCCCGTCGTCGAGGCCGTGCTCGACCCCGCTGCCGTCGAGACCCTGGCGAGGTTGCCGGGCCGCAAGACGCGCGCCGGCATCGACCGGCCGAGCGAGAGCGATGGCGATGCCGAGGCGGGAGACATCGTGGCCGTGCGCCAGGGGAATATCTTTGCGACGAGCTTCCACCCAGAGCTGACGGATGATATTCGGGTGCACGTGTGGTGGCTCGGCGAGGTGGCAAACTACCTCGAGAAGGAGACGGCGTGACTGGGTCAACACAAGGAGAGGAGGACGAGAACAACATGGGCAAACACAATGACGATATGCCATAGAAGTAGACAGCCTGCGTAGAGCGAATCCGTACACACTGCATTACAACACTGCATTACAACACTTCATTACAACACTGATGACGAGTCTCTACTCCTGCCCCTCGCCCTCCCCTGGCGCCTCGTCCTCCTCGAGACTCCAATCCCGCAAGCCCTCGCCCCGGATCCAGCTGACGCCGCGGCGCCAGCTACCCTCGCGGATCGCCCGCGCGTCCCTCTCGTACACGACGCCCGTCACCATGAGCGCTGCGACAAAGACCCACACGTCACCGCCGCGCATGCCCTTCCACCACCGCCTCTTGACGCCGACCTTCCACAGCGAGTCCACGCTCGCCCGTGCCGAGTACAGGAACATGCCCCGGCCCTGCTTCCGCTCGACCCAGGCCCAGAGACCGGCGACGAAGCCGCCGAGGAAGAACCGCAGCGTCGGCAGCACGTGGCGCGGCAGCCACGTCTGGAACACGCAGATGGAGGCCCACGCCGTCGAGATGGAGCCGGCGAGGAACGTCGAGCTCCGCAGCGCGCGGCTGAGCACCTTGGTCAGGACGGCGACGGGCGCGTGGTACAGCTTGGCGCCGGCGTTGGGCAGAATGGCAAACGCGCCGTAGAAGCCGAGGAGCATGCGCATAAAGGGCGGGAACGAGCTGAGCCAGAACTGCAGGTACGTACGCAGACAAGACGGGTCAGACGGGTGGAGGGTCGCGCACGAGAGAGAGGTGATGATGGGGTGTGCTGTCGAGGTCAGGGGCGCGACGGCGGCGAGCGATGCCGGCAGCGTTTCCTTGTTGGGGAACAGAGTGGGCGAGATGTAGGGCCTGTCATTTGTCAGCTGTCTTCTCGGACCCAAGCAGCGCGCCATGGAAACGTACGGCCAGTTGAGCTTTGCCATCTGTGCAAGGCTGTCGACAATCTCCAACGTCTTGGGCCACACCAGGTGGCTCGGGTAGCCGGCGGGCCTCTGTTGCAGATAGGCTGTCGAGTTATTGAAGATGAGGTTTCCGTAGGCCGCGGGGAAGCAGTCGCGGTCGAAGACGACGGCGTGCAGCAGCTGTCCAAAGGCAAAAGGCTGGATCATCCAGCTGCCCCACCACCAGGGCCGTTCCCTCTTGACGCGGCCGCCGGCTTTGAAGCCCCAGATCATGCCCTCGCCCTCGCACAGATTCCAGCCGAACTCGAGGGCGCGGAACATGGCGTAGATGGCGACCGACACGCGCAGTTGCTGCGCCGGGTACACGCCGAGGGCCAGACCGGCGAGCGAGGCACCGACGGCGGGTGCATAGGGCGACGTCAGTGTGGCGGCGGTACGGGGATTGCGTCGTCGGAAGGGGATCGCCGCATCGTCGAGCAGGTGGCCGCGCAACCTGGACATGAAGCGGAAGAGCAGGCGATAGAGCAGCAGGATGGAGGATAGAGAAAGCGACAGACGGAAGGTGGGCGAGTTGTACAGCGGTTGCTTCTTCGCGTTCGTGCTGTGGTTGAGTCAGTGCATGTTGCTTCACACCATGGTGGCCTGCCACGCAAGGAGGCCATGCAGGGACAGCCCGGGGAACATACTCTCTCTTGCCGAGCACCCTCTTCATCAAGACATCATACGTCTTCATGCCCGCCGCCGTGCCGACAAACAAGCGCAGCGCGTCGCGGATCGCCCGTGTATTGTAGCTGTCGCTCGGCGGCACAGCATGGGACGGCCGTCGGCCAGGCTTGTCGCCATCGACTATCTTCTCGACCGTCGCCACGCTCGGCGCCGTCCGCCTTAGCACGCGCGACCGCGAGATGACATACTTGTGCAGCGTGGCGTACTCGCGCGCCGAGATGGTGTAGCGCAGGGCGTTGCGCAGGACGGGGTCGGAGACGGACTTGGGCGTCAGGGTGCGCGGCGCGTTGGGCGGGCGCGACGGCCCCGGTGCGGCCGAGGTCATCGGTTCCTGTCGAGAGGTGGCGCTCTACTGCCAGTGGGACAGCCGCTCGACTGCGAGGTGGAACAGAGCAAAAGGTGTGGCGTTCGAAATCAGAGTGAATCGCAATGCAGCTGAAGAAATCGAGTGATCAGACAGTCGCAACAAGTCTCATGGGCGCGTTATCTGGGATCGCTGACGTTAGCCGAAAGTCCCCCCCCAAAATGGTGGGAAGCCGAGCTGGAATGCATCCCGCGCCAGACCCAGGCCAATGACCTCACAGGGACGTACCAAGGTCGGGCAATGGCTTATGTAGGCCGTCAGAGCAAAGTCAATTAGTCGTCTCGTCGAGCGGGTTCGCACGAGCCGTCGCGTCGTTCATCCGTGCTGCAAAAGAGGAAGGGAAAGATGAGGAGGGATGGAGGAGAGGGAGGAGGGGTGGGATGGCAAAAAGAATCTTGGATGGTCCGAAAACCTGGGGAATGGGCGAGGGGGGAGCTGCTGCAGCGGGAGCAGGCGCCATACACTACACTGGGGAAGGAAAGAAGGGGTCGCAGCAGAGGCAAGCACAGGCAAGCAGGGCAAGCAGGGCAAGCATGGCAAGCATGGCAAGCATGGCAAGCTAAAGGCAAGCACATGCCTCGGCCTTTCGACGGCTCCTCCCCTGTTCCCTCCCAGCTCCCCTAGCGCATATTCACGTGTCTCGGCCTATCAGCGCCTACCCCCTTGCCCCTGTCCTGCCTTTTCCCCACGCCGTTTGATGACATGCTCATGCACAAGGGCAGACTTGTGTAAACATTCGGAACCCCAGTCTGCCTCTACCCATCGTGTTTGTTGTCTCCCCCTTGTCAAGGTGGTTGTCTGTCACTCGTGGACGGGCATTGGAATTGCACTGGAATCACGGCCGCCACGCAGCCACACATGCTCAAGCTGTTCAACGCGACAATGCATTACGGACTATCAACGGTGCAACCATCACAAGCCCTGGCCTCGAACCCTGCCGGTCGTTCCAACGCGCTCTGCATGCTTCACTGCGGCCGCCTTCCGAAAACCCAGGCTGCTCGAAGAAGGTCTCCTTTTCGAGAGCCTCGAGTGTGTCCCTGGATCCATCCTACACAGGGACAGCCCCGGCACTCGTCGGCCCATCCTGTCCAAACAAGCCTTTCTCGCGTGACTCTGAACCATCCTGGCTCACATGCTCATCCATCTCGCTCAACCCCAAGGGTATCACCACGCTTCGTTCCGCCCCCTTATGACATCCGCACAACTGCGCTGAAGGGGGCCGCGCCGTCCCTCCTCGGTGGCGTTCTCCCCCACCATCTTGTCCATAATCCGTGGACCGCGGTCTTGAGAGCACTGACGCAGACCCCGTCAAGACCCATCGACACACGGGCTTGCGTCCGCGAGGTCGAACCGACGAGACCTGCTTCACCATATCCCTTTCAGTCCGCCCATCCCAGCCAGACAATGTCCGGCCCAGGGGGCATCGCAGGGTTGCCCCATCGCGCGACGGCGCGTAAATACAACGGCAAAACCAAAAGCAAGCGGGGGAATCAAACTTTTGTGCGCATGATGCAAATGCAACTCGTCATATCGGTCGTCGTGGCAGCTGTGAGACAGAAGGAGAACAACCAGCCGTGCGTGGCTGCTGCCCTGCTACTGCTGCTTGCAGTCCACCGTCGTTACTCATGATCGAATGCGAACCCTCGCCTAAGGGTACGCAGCCACGGGGTGCTGGTGGTCCGAGCCGCCGTCTTCGCGCGCGTACATCAGCGGAGTCCACTTGCGGCCCAGCGAAGCGCCCTCGCCGTGGAAGGGAACCATCTCCTCCTGCCATCCGAGAATGTGCCACACGTCGCCACCGTTGCGTGGCTCGACGCTCTGCAGCGAGTGGCGGATCTGTCCCGCGTGCGGGACGCGTCCCTCCTTGACATCTTCGAGTGCCCGCAGACGCCGCAGTTCACGCTCCGACACGACGGACACCATGATCTGGTGGCGAGCCTCCGAGTTGGCCCAGCTCGAGACGTTGCCGTAGACGCTAGACTCTAAGGCGGGCTTGAGGTAGGCGAACGGAAGGTTGAGGAGAACGCGAGAAAGAGTCGAGTTGACGGCGCGCTGCTGAGGCGTCAGGCTGAGCACCTCGCCGTTGGTACCGTCCTGCGTACTGTCCTGGGACGCTGACGAGCCGCCCATGTCGCCGAACTTGATGTGCATGGGCCGGGCCCGTCGGCCCGCTCCCAGGTGGACGGAGGTGCCGTGAGCGATAGGCGGTGTGCCCGTCGACTTGGCCGGTGCCGGCACGTTAGGGATGCGGGCGAAGGACTCGGGGTCCGCGACCGAGGTGTCGAGACGGAAGTAAGCCGGAAAGTTGTTGATGATGAAGGAGATCACGCCCCCCATGAGGAGCTGGACCTGCTCGCCGTAGGCGAAAGGAGCGTGGCGGTCAGCAGACGCACGGCCTGGCAGGTCACCGAGGATGAAGTCCAGCGCCTTTTCGAGGGTCGACCAGCTCAGGTGGTCGGCTGCCACCTGCATACCGCGCTGGATGATGGGGTCCCAGTTCAGCAGCTTTCCGGCGGCGGCATAACCCAGGGCAAAGTCGAAACGGGTATCTGCGTTTCCGGCGAGCGTCAGGTTGCCGTCTCCCATGGAAGCGCCCTCGGGAGGACCACTGAGGAGAGGGAAGGAATAGAGTCGCTGGATGGCCATCCAGAAGGTGCTCGAGTTGATGTACTTGTCGTCCGTCTTGAGGAGGATGGTCTGCGCGTCCGTTCCGTGCGAGTGGCTGTCACTGTGGCTGGTGGTCTGCAGCAGGTTACGGAGAGGCTGGCTGCGCGCAAAGACGAGTCGGTGGCCAGGGATGCGGACAGGGGGCGCGCGGTCATCGAGGTAGCGAAGCTCGAGCGTGCAGTCGACAAATGTCAGGTCGGTGAACTGGGATTGGAGGTACCCAAACAAACCCTCGACGCTGTTCTGGGCCTCCTGCATCTGCTGCTGCATCACGTGCGGCGGGGGCATGTGGTTGGACATCATCCTCTGGTGGGCATGACCGTAGGCAGAATGCTGGTGCTGGTGCTGCTGATGATGCTGATGATGCTGCTGCTGCTGGTGATGGTGGTGACGACGGTCGTCATGGTTTGCCACGACGCCGTTCGGGCCGCCATGGCCGTGATGCTGGTTAAAGGCGGCCGCTTCGTCAGCGTGGTGGGAGGAGTGGGAATCCTGGAAGCTGTGGGGCGTCGAAGGGCCGTAGTTGTTGACCTGGTGGGGGTAGTGCTCCATGCCAGCAGGCGCGACAGAGGAACGGCCGAAGGCGTCGCCCGAGGTGACGGGCACGAATTCGGTGCCGTAGGGCATCTGCGGGGGGTATCCATGGCCTGAAGCCGTGTGGCCGTGACCAGGGAAGGGTCGCTGACCGTTGGGCAGGCCGCCGAGCCCCGGCGGCGGGGCGAATCCGGCCGAATGCGGAGGAGCCGGCGATGAGTTATTCGAGTCAAAGTGGCCAAACTGGAGGCTGCCGTTGCTGGGGTGCGGGTGGTGCATATGAGCCGGACCGTTGAGCCCGTGGCGGGGCAGGGGCCGCATGTCGCCGTTGGTGCCCAGGCCCAGAGCACGAGGGGTTGGCTGGAAAGCAGGAGGCATGCTGTACGGGGTTGTCGACCTGACGGTCTGGTGTGGGACAGCAGCAGCAGGCGCAGGGACAACAGCAGCAGGCGCAGGGGCCGTGTCTGGAGGGAGCACGTTAGAACTCGGGGCCTAGAGCTAGAGCGGCCGCATCTCGTCATGATGACTGACGAAGGCTCGACGTACCATGGACGGATTCACCGAGAGGCTCAGCAGGAGTAGTAGCTGTGTGACGAGACTCGTGTGAGAAGTGGCGGGGCCTCGGGTGCGGTTGGTGATACGAACTCTGGTCAAGCTCCTCGGCGGATTGAGATTCGACGGGCATGGGTTCGGCGTCGGGCTGCTCGACGGCAGGCGTGGATTCGGCAGCAAGGTCGGTCGAGGTCGAGGCGGAGGGCGTCAGCTCGGGCTGGGTAGTCGGGGTAGCTACGGAGCAAGTTAGCACGCATACTTGCAGAGAGGTCGGCAGCCCAAGACAGCGTAGGTAGGTGGTAAGCTCTCACCAGACTGTTCCTCGTCGACGTTGCTCGCCGCCGTGGACGATGCCTCGGCAGCAGCGTCCTCCTTGGTGTCGAGCACGGTGACGACGGTCTCGGGGGTCGCGGCTTCTGCGTTGTGCTGAATCTTGAGAGAGGAGCCGTTGGACGTGGTGGTGGGCTGGGCGGCCGAGGTCTGCTTGGCGGTACCGTTGCTGCGGCGGTTGAGGTAGACATAGGGGATGGCGGGCTTCAGCGACAGGCCGGAGAGGGGGCGGGCGGCAGAGGCCTTCTTGCCAGGCTTGCCGGCGCCGCTGGCGGAGGTCATGTTGAGGCGTGGTGGACTGGCGGAGGGAGAGAGAGAGAGAGAGAGAGAGAGAGAGAGAGAGAGAGGCTGGGAAGGCGTGGGAGGACGCCTTGCGAGGTGTTCGGACGTGGCAGCGACGAACACCGACACGGCGAGAGCGGGTAGGTGTGCAAGGTCCGAGGGTGATGCAGATGACGACAGAGACTCCGGAGCTCGACGAGAGGCGTGACTCTTAGTTGCCTGGCCCGGAGGAGAAGTTGACAAGCATGTTAGAGCATCCGCAAAGCTCCAATGCGTGACGGCTCGAGTGCCAGTGACGATGCTTTGGGGGTGGAAGGAGAGGCAGAACAGGGAAAAGGAAGGGGGGGGGGGGGTTGGTGGAGTGGAGAGGAGTGGAAAGAGGGCGACAGAAGACGATGGATGATGCAGGGTGCGCGCGCGCGCAGAGAGAGAGAGAGAGAGAGAGGCGAGGGTGGAGAGGATGCTGGGGCCAGGCGACGGGCGGGAGCTGCAGGTGATGTAGGTCCGACGCCAGAACGACTTCGACAGCAGCGAGAACGGCTTCGATAGCAAATTCAGTGACGGGCTATGTTGATGCTGGGTATACGCAGATGGAGGATTTTCGGAGGTGATGTGGATGAAGCTGCTGATGCTACTGGCGTGCGTCTATCTGCCTGTTGCTGGCTCCAGAAGCCCAGGCAGGCAGCAGAGCTTCTTCTAGGTAGGTACCTTACCTGCTTGATTTCTACCCAAGACGCTCCTGCTCCCGTGCAGTGCTCAATATAGGTAGGTAGGTGCTGGGAGTTTTTTTTTTTTTTTTTCCCTTCCCACCTTCGGCCTGTTGGGCAGTTGGCGGTGGCCGGAGCTGGGCCAGGAAAAAAAAAATCGGGGCTGCGTCACAAATTTTATCCTCTTGTCCCCCCCCCGCAAAACGATGAGCAGCACCGCAGGCGACCAGCGCCAGGCCAGGCCTGGCAGATGATGGATGGTAAGGTGAGGTGAGATTGGCCCGCCCCATCCCTGCACGGTCAATAATGAGCCGTCCATCCATCTGTGCCTCTGTTTCGATTCGGTGAGCGCTGACCGGGTGGATGCGTCGGTGAGTGACATGCATCATCGGCTTCGTCGTTGCCTTTGTCTGAAATCTGAGACAAATTGGCAGAGAGGCTCAACTTGTCTGCGTTCCAGTCTGATGACGTCTGACCACGGGCAAAATGAACGACCAAGAGTACGCATCTTGTCTGACCAGGGCCATCTTGCATGGTGGCGACACGTAAGCAGGCAGCAACAGCAAGGAATGGACGCCAAGCCTGTTCTCCAGTAGATGGTATGCCATCCGAGTTACAATGCCACGATACTACGGGTCCGTACATCTCATACCAACGCCAAACGCTGCGTAGATTGAACACAATTCGAGAAGAGAAGAGGAAAGCCGCAACTACCATCATGTTACACCAAAGCATTGGGAGTCAGTCCCCTTCAACAGGCCCACCATCGGGCCCTTCAACGGCGAACACCAATCCTCAGCTTGCCAAAGCCAACAACGCCACGCATGCTCCCTGTATATCCGTTGCCGTCTGTCTCTTGACGAGCCGCTCTGCACACGTCTTGCCCTCTACTCGCCGTTACCGAGCACTCTCGCGAGCAGCACGTACAGGAACACGACGGCGCCCGCCACGAGCAGCTTGTTCCGATGCAGCCACCCCGTCCCAGCATCCCGCTGCTGCACGACGGCATCGACAACGGCGCGCCCCTGATGCGCGCTGTTGGCACCGCCGCCGCCGCCACCGCCCCCGTGAGCGCCAATGCCCAGCTGCGGCGGCCGACAGCTCGAACCGCCCGCTGCCGCTGGCACGTGGCCCGTGGCCATGTCGACCTTTTGCTCCCTCATCATGTCCCAGTTTTTCGCGTCGACCTCGGGCCACTCGGCGCGGAACTTGGCCCCGGCGTCGCCCGCCTTGACGTTGCCCTTGCCGGCCGGGTTGGCGCGCGCGTGCGAGCCGCCGCCTGTCGAGTTCCACCACCGTGACCGGGCCGCCAGCGCGCGGCGCTCGGCCGCTGTGCTCGAGACGGAGCCCGTTGTCATCTCCTCCGAGGTCATGAACGACAGCAGGCCGATGAGGATCGTCGAGACTTCCCAGGCCGGGTTGAAGGACTTGGGGTGGAAATCAGAGATGGAGAGGCAGAGGCGGGTCGATGGCTGGAAGCGGCCGGAGGGCGTGTGCATGCGGATGGCCGGCGGGGCGAAGGGGTATGTCGGCGGGAACATGAGTGTGCCCCAGTACTGGCCGCCGTGGTAGGGTGTGTCTTCGGGGCCGGTGATGATGTAGTGCCATCTTTGAAGCGGGGGGGGTGACCAAGTTAGCCTGGGAGTTCACAGGCGTAAGGGGGAGGGGGGTACGAACTCGAGGATGTTGGATTCAGAGGGATGCGCCTCGATGTATGGGGGTGGGTTCTCGGCGATGGTCTTGTATTCGCGGGTCAACTGAGATCACGTTAGCCAAGGAGCCCACGACAATCAGTCCAGAATTCCGACGTGCCCGCTTCTGCGCTGCCTTGCTGGCCGACATGGTGGGTGTTCCGAGGTTCACCACAGGTAGATGTCGATGACGTGGTCAGATTGCACGTTTCTTGTTGAGCCTAGGTGGTAGGTGTGATTGTGGATGCGACGCAAGAAAGGAACGCAGTCTAGGGTCCCAAGAGACAGTAACGCCGCGCAATCGCAGTTGATGCAACGATAAAGGATGGTGTGTGTATGTGTGTGTGTGTATGTGGAAGGTGGATGCGCTGGGGTAGTCGTGAAGTTGGAGGTAGTAGGGAGGAGAGTGGTTACAGGCGAAGGCTGGGCCAGACGGCGCCAGGGTCATCGGGGGGGGGGCGTTTGGGCCTTTGGGGGGCTTCGGCCTTTGGGACCTTGGTGTCTAGGCCTGGGACCTGGGACCTTGGTGTCGGGGCCTGATACCTTGCTGGCACGAAATGTCCGAAGCGGCGCCACAGGAAGGCGGTACGTACTGGCCGTGTCGATCCACCAGCCTCACGTCACATAATAGCGGGTCAGGGCGTAGGTCGAATGGAAACCTCCTGGGGCGCTCTTGACGACCCATCACCAGATGCGAGCTACCTCACCTAAGGTAGCCCAAGGTAGCTATCCTCATCCGACCTGACAGACTCAATGGCTGCCAAAACGACTGTGGGCGAGGGTTCCGTACGTCATGTTTCCGTCTTTCTTCCCACCTTCATCGTGAGCTGACCATACACAAGAAGCCCGACCCCATTCAGAAGCTCAATGCCGATGCCGAAAGCTTGCGGCGCGAAGCAGAATCCTCCCTCGAGTATGCGGCCAAGCTCGAGGAGGAGAACCAGCGGCGCCAGGCCCAGATTGTAGGTCGACTGTATCCTTTGCCGATCAAACCATCTGACAGCCGAAGCTCCTCGAGCAGCAGTCGACGCCCATGACCGTCCACAACCTCACCGTCCACGGCGCACCCAACACGCGCCGCGCCTTCCTCGATCCCATCCTCTCCCCCATCGTCGCGCCCTCAGCCAACACTGCCACGACGCTCGGCGACGTCTCCTACCGTCTGCAGACGGCATCCGCCAAGCTTGACCGTCTCGGCATCTTCCAGCCCGCCCCCAAGATTTTCCTCAACTCAGCCGACCAGACCAATCCCTCGTCCACACCGACAGACGTGGACATCGATATCCTGCTCGCCGAGCTTCCCCGCTACAAATTCAATGCCGGCACCGACGTCGGCAACTCGGAAGGTTCAGCCTTCACGTCGCTCTTGTGGCGCAATATATTCGGCGGCGCCGAGCAGCTCTCCCTCAACGCGAGCACCGGCACGCGAACACGCTCCGCCTACACAGCCGAGCTATCCGCCCCCGTGGCCTCAGACCCCGATCGCCGCATCGCCCTCGAGATTCTCTCCTCCGCCGCCGACAAGCCATGGGCCTCGCACGAGGAGGTTCTCCGCGGCGGCTCCCTCCGCTACCAGTGGCTTTCGCCGGACCGCGACATGCACTCGATCGAGTACACGGCCCTCTGGCGACAGCTCACGTCGCTGGGCCCCGGCGCGAGCCCGACCGTCCGTGCCGACGCCGGCGACTCGCTCAAGTCGTCCCTCCGCCACATCTTCCGCCGCGACACGCGCGACAACCCACAACTGCCCCAGCGCGGCTACCACATCCGCACGACGACCGAACTCGCCGGCGTCGGCCCCCTCGCCGGCGACGTCGCCTTCTCCAAGTCCGAGCTCGAGTTCGGCGGCGCCGTGCCCCTGAGCGAGCGCGCGCCCGGCGTCTCCCTCGGCGCCGGCCTCCGCCTCGGCGCCCTCTGCCCCCTGCCGCTGGGCTTCGCCTCGACCGCCGCCATCGCGCCGAGCCGCCTCAACGACCGCTTCCAGCTCGGCGGCCCCACCGACGTCCGCGGCTTCAAGCTCGGCGGCCTCGGCCCCCACGACGGCCCCGACGCCGTGGGCGGCGACGTCTTCGCCGCCGGCAGCCTCAACCTCCTCTTCCCTCTCCCCTACCGCGGTCCCGACTCGGCCCTGCGCATGCAGCTCTTCGCCAACGCCGGCCGCCTCGTCGCCCTGAAGCCTTCTGCTGGTGGTGGTGGTGGAGACAAGCAGGGCCGGCACGGGCACGGGCACGGGCACTCTGGCGCCGACATGACGCCCGCCTCGGTCGCGCGCGGCCTCGCCCACGCCGTCGGCGACCTGGTCAGCGGCCCGCCGAGCGTCGCCGCCGGCGTGGGCCTCGTGTACGCCCATCCCGTCGCGCGCTTCGAGCTCAACTTCAGCCTGCCGCTCGTCGTGCGGCGGGGCGAGGTCGGCACCAAGGGCGTGCAGGTCGGTGTCGGGATCAACTTTTTGTAGCGCGGTTGGCCACGGACCGCGGGGCGGGGCTTGTAGAAGTACGAGGCGACGGGCTGTTCAGTGTATGATAGGGATGGATGTAGAGAGGTAGAGACGTATACCACGCCAAGGTTTTGTGTCCTTGATTTCCTGGGGGTTGAAAGCTGTGGTGTGTCCCAACAAGGGATGTTCAGAAAGTTGGCCCGGCCGTGACAGATTGGGAGCATCCAGACTGCCTCGAGCTACAGGATACGAGGGATGAAGGTTGGCGCCAGTTGGATCTGTATCATCAGACAACACACGCATGCCAGCATGATCCCATCATCCTCCAACAAGGCAACAGTCCGAGCACGTGGGATCACAGTACAAAATCCAGTCGACAGCCTACCATCACAATGCTCGGACACTTGTCAAATGTTCAAAAGGCCAAAAGAAGACTAGTATTCAGCTACAAACATCCCACCACAAGCCCGTGAAAATGAAAAAGGCCACAGCCAGTATATCGTGACACTGCGGCAGCAATAACGCCAGCCCTATATCCAGCAGCCAGACCATCCGGGCCCGGCTGGCAATGACAAGAAAAGGAGCCCCGTCCTGATTTTCCGAACGGCAAGCAAAACTCATCCTTCTACCCACGTGATCCATGGAGTACCGAACCATCCTGGTCCCTGCAAGCCCTGACCCGTGTCGAACGCCGGCGAGCATCTCGCGGGCGGAGAGCAGATTCGGGAGCAACTTAGTCCCAGAAGCTCATCCAGTACCACGAGCTCAGTCCGCTCGCCAGGATGATAAAAGTGACGATACCAGCGCCCGCCCTGTCCGCTGTCGTGATTGGCTCCGGGTCCTGGAACGGGTTGCTGTCCCGGCCGGCGTTGCTGTCTCCCCTCGAGGTGCCGCCGGTGTCGTTGGTCGTAGGTGGGTTCGCGCCTGCGATGAGAAGAGAGGAAACGGCGGCCAGAACGTTCATCTGCTCGCCAGCACCCGTGGTCTTGTCGACAGCGGGGTCGATAAACTCGCCCCTGTCCCAGTAGAAGCCGCACACGCGGCCCGAGGCGCCACCAGTGCACTGTCTTATAGCAGCCTGCGTCGAGTTTTGCAGCACGGGTAGAATCTTCGAAGCTGTCCCGGGAACAAGCTGCGTGACAACAGCGAGCCAGCGGTGCATGTATCCCTTGAAGGTCAACATGTCAGCACTGCAACGGCCAGGGTCCCTCTCGCAAGGAACCTCGTAAGCAACACCTCTCGGGAAGAAATCGGTAAGGCAGCGGTCCAGCAGCTTCTCAACACGGTCGAGCCACTTGGCGTCCTCGGTGTAGTTGTACATGAACGCGGCGCCTTGCATCATAACGGCAATGTTGTAGGAGAAGGTGGCCTTGTTGATGTCGGTGCAGTTGTGCTCAATATGGCCACCGTCGTAGACACGCCAGTTCTCGTGGTCGATGTAGTTCACTCCCCAGAGCCAGTCCCACGTCTCTTCGGCGGCCTTGGTGTAGGTGTCGTTGCGGGTGTAGCGCGCGAGGCGAGCACCAATGTTGAAGAAGCAGCCGTTGGCAATGGTGTTCTTGTAGTTGTATCCGGCGTTGGTGGAGACGGCCTGCCATCGGAGACCTCCGTTGCAGTGGTCGTCGAAGCGATCGTTCTGCGTGGACCACACGGCCTGGGCGAGGGCCAGCCACTGGGGTTGGTCCTCGGGGGGGTCAGGGAATTTGTTCTCGGCGGCCAGCATGGCCGTCATGCCCCAGAAGCCCTGGTCGTCGTTTCCGAGCGAGGCCGTGTGGTTGAGGGGCATGTAGTCGCGGTTGTCGCCGACCTGGTGCACCATGCCCTCGCGGACGACGTCGTTGTAGCTCGTGTCGCCGGTCAAGTGCCAGTAGTCGACATATGTGCCCATCATGGCACCGCCCTGCCACCAGTAGTAATCGCCCTTGCCGTCGGCTGGGGGTCCTGGCAGGATACCGGGGATCATGCCAGTCTTGTTGCCTTCGTAAAACAGCATCATGTCATACGCGAGCGTGCGTGCTGTCTCACGAATTGCATCTGCACGGGTCAGCAAGAGGAGCTCGGACAGTAGAACAGCGTGTCTACACACCATCCGAATCTATGGAGTAGCCCTGAGCCAGAGCGGACGGCAGAGCACTGAGGGCCAGTAGCGCCGCTGGGGCGACGGTATGAAGAGAGTTGAACATGATGTAAAGGGAGAATGGAGAATGAGAGCAGTCGAGTGAATGCGCAGGCCTCAACGGCCGTGGGCGAAGGAGGATCGATCAACGAGAAAATGCGAATGATGTGATGATGTCGTCTCTGGGTCGTTCAATCGTCGAGGCAATGCAGATTCAATCGGGCAATAACCGTCGGGGGTGAATGAGTCCGAGTCGCTGGTGGCCCTGAACTCAAGATGCGTGTGTTATAAATAGGGCCCTCGTCGTGTTGGTGAGTCGCGAGGGTGTCGAGGGAGGAGAGGAGGAAGAACAGGAAGCGAATGGCAGTTGCAGCGTCTGGCTCTGATCAGAGCGACGACAAACAACGGGGGAGCTTTGGGGTGTTGTAGGCTGTGCTGAGGTTGCTTCAACGTGGATGCACCGGGGAAGGAGAGATGTAGGAAGCGGGAAGAAGCACAGAAGCGATGGAATAAGATGGGGCGGGCCCCTTTTGCTAAGGTAGTGGCGGCGTGCGTGGTTGCTGCTCAGAGGTACTTAGGCGTAGGGGGGGGGGGGGGGG